GGACTACAGGCATGCACCACCATGCCCGGCTAATTTTTTCTATATATTTTTAGTTGTCTGATTAATTTCTTTCTATTTTTAGTAGAGACGGGGTCTCGCTCTTGCTCAGGCTGGTTTGGAACTCCTGAGCTCAAACAATCCGCCCGCCTCGGCCTCCCAGAGAGCTAGGATTACAGGCGTGAGCCACCGCGCCCGGCCAGCTCTCACATCTTACCTATTAACATTCACTGATTATAAAATGGAGAACTATTCATCTATGTATCTTAGGATCTGGCATCCACATTTAACCATTTTGTTCTTCTCATTTCTGTAGAGCATCTGGACATTCTGCTAAAGGAACTGGTGTGTTACAAACGTACCGAAATAAAAAAATAATAATAATGTTAAAACAATTCCATTATGAAGCACTGAAAAGAATAAAATATTTAAGAATAAATTTTACTAAAAAAAAAAAAGAGAGAGAGAGAGAACTAAAAACGTGCTGTGTTGGTTAAATTTAGAGAAAATAAACCCTTGCATTGGTCAAAAAAATTAAATTGGGTAATCCATCTTTTAGGAAGCAGCTAGGGTGTCACAGGAAAAGGAGCTCATGGGCCGGCTATACTTAGGAGTTTCTTCTTAACCGTTTAGAAAGTGAAAGCCCATTGGCATTTGCAAAGTGCTTTTCCAGACTCACTGACATGAATAGGTGTAAATTTAGGAGCCTAAGTACACCAAGTGAGGAAATCGAGAGGTTTTCAGCATCGTTTTTTCTCTCCCTCCACCTCAGACACAAATCAGCGGAACATTTCCTTCCCTGAAATCCATTAAGCACAGTATCACTCAGCCAGGAGGCTGGGCTCCTGGAAATTCTAGAAGGTCCCATCCAGATTTAACACTAGGATTAAGGTCTGACTCCACCTCCTTGGTAAATTTAATTCCAGTTTCTAGAACTCCAGCACCCAGTAGAGCCAAACTTGTCCCCGAGGAAGGCAGGAGCTAGTTGATGAATTGATCCAAAGTTTGTTCAAAATAAAAATGCATATGTGGTGAATACCTTCCTCTTAGTGCTTCTAAATATCAAAGATTACTAACTTCTGCAGGAAGACCGGCCAGAACGATGTCCTTTCATGGTTTGAGTAAGGAGGCTTTTTCTTACAGCTGTAGTCATGGCTGAGTGGTTAAGGTGATGAACTAGAAATCCACTGGGGTCTCCCCGTGCGGGTTTGAGTCCTGCTGATGACATCAGAAGTTTTATTACCCTATATGAAGGGCTTAGGTTACTGTGAAGCTGGGCTTAGATTACTGTGAAGCTAAGATAGATAAGCATTCACCATTCTCCCTTCTCTAACCCTTCCATGGCTGTACACATTTCTTCTGTGAATACCACTGCTCTCCCGTGTGTTGCCCAAAGAAAATCAAGTGCCTCAAGGAGTTTGCTTTGCTAGAACCATAGTAATCTTCCTTCCTCGGCAACATGCAATGAATACCTGAGCGTCTCTGGTTTTCTCTCGCCCAAACCCTGCTCAAAGTAAGCTATTTCTACAAGAACATTTGGCGAAAGTGTCTCTGAGAAATCATGGAGTATATTTAGTCTATACCACAAAGGGAAGCTATTTTTAGTTTATTTAAAAAATTTATCACGAAGTAAAATTGACTTTTTATTTCTTTTTATTTTATTTTATTTTTACCTTTTTCCTTTATCTCCCATTAAGAGAAATTTATTTCAAAAATAGCGTCTTCTGAAAATATTTTTTTGGTCTCATATGTTGTTGACTCCAAATCCAGTGACACAAAGTTACTATGGTTCTCCAACATTACATCCAGGTATATGTCTCTCTGAGCAGGGTTCAGGCATTTCCGCTCCTTCTGAGAGAAGTCCATGCCCACATCCTTGAACGTCACCAACCCATCAGTCATGGTTCTAGCATTGCAAGAACTGATTAATGCTCCATGGGGTTCCTCTGTTGGTGAAGCACAGAATCCAGAAAAGTCAGAACAGCTCTTGAACATCCTGAAGCCGTTGCTCATCAATTTAATAAGACACTTTCATTGTCAAGAACCTTGATTTCTGAACCTTGATTTCCAAATGTGCAAAAATTCTTTCCTTCTTCTCAAGGTCCTTGCTAGGAACCTGGCAGCACGTGCAGAGTCCAGAAATCTTGAGGACACGGGAAAGAGAGCCAGAGATGAGGTTCAAAATTGACTTTTTAAAAGCATATGTAGATCTTCATGTAACCACTACCACCTCAGGATACAGATGAGTTCCATCCATCTATAAACTTCCCTAGCACTATTCCTTTATAGTCACCCCCTAACACCACAAATAACATCTGACAACCATGGATACATTTTCCATTTCTATAGTTTGACGTTTTTGAGAATGTCACAGAGATTGAATCATTCAGTATGTAACCTTTTGAGAGTAGCTTCTTTCATTTACCATAATGCCTTGTGATTTGCCCAAGTTGTTGCATATGTCAAAGTTTTGTTCTTTTTTGCTGTTGAATAGAATTCCATTGTATAAATGTACCACAGTTTATTCACCCACTCAGTGAAGTGCATTTGTGTCATTTCCAGTTTTTGGCAACTGTGAAAATAAAAACAGCTATAAATATTAGTATACAGGATTTTTTAATGGACATAAGTTTTAATTTTTCTCGGATAGATTCCTAGGACTGGGATTGCAGGGTCATATAGCAAATGTATGTTTATAAGAAACTGTTAATCTATCTTCTAGAGTAGTTCTACTACTTTTCATTCTCATTAGCAATGAATGAAAGTTCTAATTGCTCCTCCTCCTCACCAGCCATTAATATTGTCAATATTTTTTATTTTAACTATTT